CCACATGTGATTATCGGCCAGGTTGGCACAATTAACTAACTCAGGGACGAGCTACCTTTAAATGATCGCATTATTGAAACCGACACACCCTCTGATATGAATGGAACAGGATGTGGTATAGGTTTGTAGATGCAAGCCCCAGTCCTGCTTCAACCAGTCGTCTAGGCCCAGGGCCAGAATTTCTATACCAGAATCTCCCTCCTTTGTCCATTTAGGAAACTCTGTGAGGGTGGGAGGGACTCCTGAGAAGCACGCTGCACGACCCAAGCTTTCTGTTCAGTGCTAGAAATACCAACGTGTCTATCAAACATGGCTCCCTTTGGAGGGATGTGCTGGGACAGAGGATCTTGCCGTAATGGATTGAAAGCCCTCCTCAGCAGGCCAATATTGAAAACCCTCATTCTGAAACCTCCGGAGCTTGGAGGGTCACTTCTGTCCAGATGGCAAGTCTACACACCCACCCGTGTCCCCACACATGCTTCAATCCACAAGTGAAAACTGGGAACTGGTGAGTTTGAGGGGGTACAGCCTTACACCCTCTGTTGGCTGAATCCCAGAAGAGACATTGTGGTCACTTTTGCTTTCTTAGTAACTCCAGACACCACCCATCTGGGAGTCCAGTGAGGTGGCTCCACTGTCCTCATCCTCAGTGAGTACTTGGCCATTTCCTCAAGTGTGACCAAGGACGGTGGCAGGTTTTGCAGCACCCGTCAGCATACTCACTTTGCTGTAGCAGGATCTTTTCTCGTTCCATCCTCTCATCCTTCTCCCATTCTGCCTTCCTCTTGGACCACTTATCCTCCATCTCATCATGAATGCTGTCCTGGGGGGGCACAGAGATGCACCATGCAGGGAAAAGAGAAAAGAAAAGGCCCGTGGTTGCTTCCCAACACGATCACTGAAGACAAAGCGGTGCACAAATAAATGTGGTGGAGAAGGCTGATGGTGCCTGGCTATCGAAAGCTATAGAGTCTGGGGTCTTAAAGGCTGGAAGGTAAACAAGTGGCCATCTAGCTGAGAAGCAACAAAGCCCACATGGAAGAAGCATACCAGCCTGTGTAATCACGAGGTGTCGATGAGATCAGGTGCC